GCAATGCCACAGCTGAGAAAGAACTGCTAAAATGAATCCCATTCACAATAGCAACAAAAACAATGAAATACCTTGGAATAAACTTAACCAAGGACGTTAAAGTTCTCTACGATGAGAATTACAAAACCTTAAAGAAAGAAATAGAAGAGGATACCAAAAAAATGGAAAAATCTTCCATGCTCATGGATTGGAAGAATCAATATCATCAAAATGTCCATTCTCCCAAAAGCAATTTATAGATTCAATGCAATTCCAATCAGGATACCAAAGACATTCTTCTCAGATCTAGAAAAAAATGATGCTGAAATTCATACGGAGGCAAAAGAGACCTCGAATAGCTAAAGCAATCTTGTACAACAAAAACAAAGCCGGAGGCATCACAATACCACATTTCAGGACATAGTACAGGGCAGTTGTAATCATAACAGCATGGTACTGGTACAGAAACAGATGGATAGACCAATGGAACAGAATTGAAACACCAGAAATCAACCCAAACATCTACAGCCAACTTATATTTGATCAAGGATCTAAAACCAATTCCTGGAGCAACGACACTCTATTCAATAAATGGTGCTGGGAAAACTGGATTTCCATGTGCAGAAGCATGAAGCAAGACCCCTACCTTATACCTTACACAAAAATCCACTCAACATGGATTAAAGATCTTAATCTACAACCTGACACCATCAAGTTATTAGAGAACATTGGAGAAACCCTTCAAGATATTGGCACAGGCAAAGAATTTCTGGAAAAGACCCGGGAGGCACAGGCAGTCAAAGCCAAAATCAACTATTGGGATTGCATCAAATTGAGAAGTTTCTGTACTGCAAAAGAAACAGTCAGGAGAGTGAAGACAGAACTGACAGAATGTGAAAAAAATATTTGCAAACTATGCAACAGATAAAGGGTTAATAACCAGAATCTACAAAGACATCAAGAGACTCCACAAAAACAAAACCAACAACCCACTTAAGAGATGGGCCAAGGACCTAAATAGGCATTTTTCAAAAGAGGAAATCCAAATGGCCAACAGGCACATGAAAAAATGTACAAGATCACTAGCAATCAGGGAAATGCAAATCAAAACCACAATGAGGTTTCCCCTCACCATGGTTAGAATGGCTCATATACAGAAATCTACCAACAACAGATGCTGGTGAGGATGTGGGGAAAAAGGGACACTAACCCACTGTTGGTGGGAATGCAAACTGGTCAAGCCACTATGGAAGTCAGCCTGGAGATTCCTCAGAAACCTGAAGATAACCCTACCATTCAACCCAGTCATCCCACTCCTTGGAATTTACCCAAAGGAATTTAAATTGGCAAACAAAAAAGCGGTCTGCACCCTAATGTTTATTGCAGAACAATTCACAATAGCCAAGACCTGGAACCAACCTAAATGCCCATCAACGGTAGACTGGATATAGAAATTATGGGATATATACTCTTTTTTTTATTTATTTATTTTTTTGACAGGCAGAGTGGACAGTGAGAGAGAGAGACAGAGAGAAAGGTCTTCCTTTGCCGTTGGTTCACCCTCCAATGGCCGCCGCGGCCAGCGCGCTGCGGCCGGCGCACCGCGCTGATCCGATGGCAGGAGCCAGGAGCCAGGTGCTTTTCCTGGTCTCCCATGGGGTGCAGGGCCCAAGCACCTGGGCCATCCACCACTGCACTCCCTGGCCACAGCAGAGGGCTGGCCTGGAAGAGGGGCAACCGGGACAGAATCCGGCGCCCCGACCGGGACTAGAACCCGGTGTGCCGGCGCCGCTAGGCGGAGGATTAGCCTAGTGAGCTGCGGTGCCGGCCGGGATATATACTCTTTAGAATACTATTCTGCAGTAAGAAACAATGAAATCCAGTCATATGCAATAAAATGGAGGAATCTGGAACACATCATGCTGAGTGAAATAAGCCACTCCCAAAGGGACAAATACCATATGTTCTCCCTGATCGGTGACAACTGATTGAACACCAAAAAGGAAACTTCCTGAAGTGAAATGGACACTATGAGTAATGGTGACTTGATCAGCATAGCCCTGACTTTTAAGGAACAACTTAATACATTATCCCACTTAGTATTTTTTGTCTGTTCTACTTAATATGACTGGTTTAATTCTGTAATTAATACATAATCATTCTTAAGTGTTGAAATTTAACTGAAATGTAATCCCTGTTAAACATAAGAGTGGGAATAAGAAAGGGAAGAGATATACAATTTGGGACATGCTCAAGCAGACTTGCCCCAAATGGTAGAGTTAGAAACATACCAGGGGATTCCAATTAAATCCCATCAAGGTGGCATGTGCCAATGCCATCTCACTAGTCCAAGTGATCAATTTCAGTTCACAACTGATCATAATGAAAGGAATAAGAGTCAAAGGGATCACATAAACAAGACTAGTGTCTGCTAATACTAACCGATAGAATAAAGGGGAGAGTGATTCAACATGGGAAGCAAGATACACAGCAGACTCATAGAATGGCAGATGTCCTAAACAGCACTCTGGCCTCAGAATCAGCCCTAAAGGCATTCCGATCTGGCTGAAAAGCCCATGAGAGTATTTCAGGCATGGAAAGCCAAGACACTCTGGCAAAAAAAAAAAAAAGACCTAAATGAAAGATCTCTGTGAGTGAGATCCCAGTGGAAAGAACAGGTCTTCAAAGAAGGAGGTACCTTTCTCTGAAGGGAGGAGAGAACCTCCACTTTGACTATGACCTTGTCTAAACAAGATAAGAATCGGAGAACTCAAAAGGCTTCCATAGCCTTGGAAACTCATGACTGGAGCATAGGGAGATTACTGATGCCATAAACAGGAGTGTCAATTTGTTAAGTCAAAAACAGGAGTCACTGTGCACTTACTCCTCATGTAGGATCTCTGTCCTTGGTGTGCTGTACATTGAGATTTAATGCTATAATGAGTACTCAAACAGTATATTTCACTTTGTGTTTCTATGTGGATACAAACTGTTGAAATCTTTACTTAATGTATACTAAACTGATCTTCTGTAAAAAAAAAAAAAAGAAATTATCAATTCCCAACTTGACTCTCACTGGAATTAAACATTACAATAGGTCTGATCTGATTTCATCATCATTAAAAAATCATCTATTATTTTTCACTTTATGTTTCTGTGTGGAAGCAAACTCTTGAAATCTTTACTTAATGTATGCTAAATTGATCTTCTGTATATAAAGAGAATTGAAAATGAATCTTGATGTGAATGGAAGGGGAGAGGGAGTGGGAAAGGGGAGGGTTGCAGGTGGGACGGACGTTATGGGGGGGAAGCCATTGTAATCCATAAGGTGTACTTTGGAAGTTTATATCCATTAAATAAAAGTAAAAAAAAGTGTCAAATAGAAAAAATATTGTCAACTTTTATGATATTGTTGCTAGAGTTCAATTTATACAGAAATGTATGATCTCAGATTCCATATGTGTTTATGTAGTTAGAATGTATATTTCCCTAAAATAAGTCTAAAGTTCTAGAATGGAAGCATTCATTACAAGCTATAAAAATATCAAATATCAAATTTAGCATTAAGAATGTAGAAGATAAAAATGTTAAATATGAAAGAAACACTTAAGCAAAAATTATTGAATATATCTCTGTGATAATTTTTAAAATTCATGTACAACTATTTCATAACACACATTTGCCACAAATTTTATGAAGCCTAGTAATTGCAAGGAGTTCATCCTCTCCATTCGCAATTTTTTTTTCAGTAGATCATGTGCATTCACATTGACTCTACTTTTAGTTTCTACACATTAGAGAAAACAGTGGATACTTGCTCTCTGATTTAGATTGACTTTTCTTGTTTATCTGAATAGAAACAAGTTTCATCATTTGACTGGTAATAAACTTAACTCATGAAGACATTATATTTTCATTTTTAGGCAAGTCACTGAATCCTGTTGTGTATTTTGTCCCTACACTGCATCTCACTTTGCATGAGCACCTAATCAAAATCTCACTAATGACATCAGAGCAGTGGCTAGGCCATAGAAAATGTGTTTTGCTTAAAATATTAGGGACCACATTTACAGTAATTTGAGTTTAGAAACCTTTTGAGTGGAAAAATAGAGTTCTCATATATATGCCCTCTCTACCCCACTTACTAGATTTTCTCCATTGGCAATACCTCACACAGGTATGCAAGCTTAAATGATTAGTCCGTATTGATCCTCATTATTGCCTATAGGACATGGTATCCATTGTGCTCACTCTTGTATTGTGCAGAATGTAGATTGGGCTATGGTTTAATGGTACATAGCTGACCTGATGGTGTCCTACATAATAATCCTGAAAGTCACTTGCATTCAAGAAGTACAGGTGTCTGCCCATGGTGTTTGTGGTGGTGGGAATAAAGAGGTGACATTCAGCTGGTATTGTCTGCTTTAGAGTAAAAAGCGAGCAGTACTCAAATAGTCCCAGGTTCTCATGAGAGCATCAACCAAGGTTGTAGGTGTGCAAACAGATCATCATGGGATTCCATGGTTAACAGCAACATGGAAAGGTTTTATGCTTTACAACTAAAGATGAAGTGATTAGACATGCAGAATGAAAATATCTGAATTCAGGGTGATTACTGGTTCCACACTGATTGAAAACCACATGTCCTAGTGGGTATCTCTGTAACAGGTTGGTTTGGGGGTCTATGTGCTAACAAAGCGATGTGTGGCTGCCTAGAACACTGGCTGAGGGAGGCTGCCCTGTTGCACTTTGGGACATTGTATTGTTTAATACTGGAGTTTTCTTGTCTGAATCCTTACAGAAAGCCTTGACTGATGCCTCCCTTTATGCCCTGTGATGCAATCCCAGTACATAATTGGAAAAAGTTCATGGAGAGGTTTATTGACAAACCCTTGCAACAAATGTAACTATCAGGGGTTTATTCCTTGAATCTTTGTCTCCATGGACTTGGAGGAAAGCCTGGCACCTGGGGCAAGGAGGATGATTCACAAACATGTTTTTCTTCTTGTGTTTTTCACCAGGACAGAAGACCTGAACTGCAGAGCCTCAGGGCAGGAAAAGTATCAGATTCCCCCATGGATGAGTGGACAGCTGTTGGAAAGAGGTCAGATGGAGCAGTATTAAAGTGGCTAGTTTCAAGCAATAACACACACACACATGCGCATGCTCTATGTATGCACTTGCATGACCCTGCATGTTCACTGCTGTTGTGTCCTAGGGTTTTACACATTTGAAGATGTTTCCTTTGATTTTTCTGTTGCTCTTTCTGCAGCTGTATCTCCTTGTGACTTGTCAGGATGGTCCCGACTGCTATTCCCAGATGGAACAGAGTTTTTACAAGGATGGAGATATTGAGATTGCTGCTTTTTTGCACATTTACACATATGAGGTTCCCATAACCATGATGTGGTTCAGCAAATATCACAGATTCAGATGGTAAGTTGTCCTTGCCATAATCATTTTCCATTAATTCACATATTACCTACTTGTTATTAGGTCTGCAATTCTATTGGCAAATATGTTCTGTATCCCTGCCATGTCCATCTTCTGTTCCTCCTAAAAACTGCTGTTAATTGATTTGGGGCATGAGGAAGACATTTCTTTCTGCCTGGCACCATGGATGGTTCAGGGAAATGGTGTCTCATCAGAGGAGGAACCAGAGTCCGGTTGGTATCTTCCTGTCCTTCCCTGTCCAGGTTCATCAGCTCAGGGGCCTATTGTGCCTCAGTAGCAGATTCTTACAGAACCCATGCAGTGAAATGAACAAATCTGAGTTACATGAGCTCCTCCACATGTGCTCACACTCTTTTCTGCTACGTACTAGATTTGGGGCCATGAGAACACTTCATTTCTTCTACAGTTGTAAAGGAGAAAAGATTCAAAAAGTTTTTTCTATATAAAAGTAATCTCAGGGCAACACCTTTGCACAAATATAGTAATTATATTTTACTGATGAATATACCCATAAGAACTTCAATATCTGTAATCTACTACATTTGCAATTTTTCCCTGATTCTGCCTTTTCTGGGCAAAATAGATTTCTTAAGGGGGATTATTCTGTTTCTGCCCCTCTTAAAGGTACTTTATTTGTAGCTAAATATGTGTTTCATTATATATATATATATATATATATATATAGTATATATAAATTTCATGCCTACAGAATATAGTATCTTGTAAGACATTAGGACTGTTTTCTTCAAACCTGTTTATGAAGATGCCAATTTTCTAATTGGTTTCTACTGTAAGTCTACAGGAAGTAGGTTGCAGCTGCATAGAACTTTGATAGAAGGTAGGTATTAGGACATAGATCATTTCAGTATCATTAAAGCCAATGGATTTGAGAAGTATAGTTGGTGCCACCAAGGAAATGCAACTGATGAAGTATTTTAGGCATTTGCCCAAAGATCTCTGCAGAAAAAATCTAATGGATACTAGCTTGGCATAACAATATTATTCACTTCACATAGATTTTTATAAATTCACATTCTTTGATATGTGCACATGGCATCCCACTTATGAAATATATATTTATTACTACTAGTAGTATTCCCCATGGTTATGCATGCAGCACATCATTTAAGTGTACCCTTAATGATGGAGACCAGGAGATAATGACTTTCCAGTAGTAGGAAAAGAGGCTATGAATAGAGCCCAAGTTCCTCCAAGATGTATGCCATGCAAACTGGAGATCATAATCAAATCTTAATAAACCCAGGGAAAATATCTGTGTTGATGATACTTGGAAAAACAAGAAATACTGAGCTGTTAATACATTTAGGCACTGTACCCTCCAATGTTAGATTCACCAACTTTAGAATATACAACAGTTACTGAAAAACTGTTTTTAGAGAAAAAGAACACAGCACGCCCGGCGCCGCAGCTCACTAGGCTAATCCTCCGCCTAGCGGCGCTGGCACACCAGATTCTAGTCCCACTTGGGGTGCCGGATTCTGTCCCAGTTGCCCCTCTTCCAGGCCAGCTCTCTGCTGTGGCCAGGGAGTGCAGTGGAGGATGGCCCAAGTGCTTGGGCCCTGCACCCCATGGGAGACCAGGAAAAGCATCTGGCTCCTGGCTCCTGCCATCGGATCAGCTTGGTGCGCTGGCTGCAGCACGCCGGCTGCGGCGGCCATTGGAGGGTGAACCAATGGCAAAGGAAGACCTTTCTGTCTGTCTCTCTCTCACTGTCCACTCTGCCTGTCAAAAAAAATTAAAAAAAAAGAACACAGCATAAAAGAGATAAACTCTTACAAATTCCAGTGTGTCCAAGAGCCGTCTAGACATTTTGGTACAAGGCAGCAGCTGGAGAAAGAAATGAGAGGATTCGGAATAATGGAGGTGTCATAGTAATGAGGAGAGAAACAAATATATGAAATACAAAACTGAATTTTATTTGATTCATAGCAATGATTTTCAAATTTCCTGATTCTACAAAGTATGAATGACATATTTGGATAACAAATATGTATAGAAACTATATATACATAAAACACTATATATGTATAGCAACTGTATGCATGGTATACCTATGTATAAATACAGAGAGAATATGTATATAATATGAATACATATATACATATTATGTTGCAGCAAGAACCAAGAACTGAAAAACTGTCACTTCCTCTGGAGCACACAGTGACCCTTAGCAAGCAGTGTACATGACATAGTCTATTCATGAGGAATCAACACACAGGACATCAGAAATAAATTCAAGGGGCTCCTCATTTACATTCTTTGTGAAATGTCAGATCCTAAAAAGTAGAAATGTATCATTTTCTATGCATGGAAGGCTATTTATATTCAAAATTGTAGGAAAACTTGAGTGAAGAAGGCCTGTTTGGAGTAAATACTGATACTACTCATAATGATTTACTTTAACATATGTTTAGTGTTCTAAATGCATGACTGGCTTAATTGTAAAGCATCATAGCCCAGTGATTCATGTTCACGCAGGGAGTGTTTCCAGCTTCTCTGAAGTGCTCCTCCCTTTTCACTATTTCCCTTATTTGAAGCTCTGAACCCGATTTTTATTTTCATGGTTTGTGTTGGAGGTTGATGGATAAGTTTAATGGGGAAGAGATTTTTCAGGATCAATTACAGACTCCCATTTTCAGTGCCATGACATCATCCCTCTTCTCAATTACATAGCCTTCAAGTGAGTTATTCTCTTCCCATTACAACCTGCAGCCTTATGATTGTATGACTGCTATTTCAAGAAGCACTTAATTACGTGGTAAGATGAAGAATTATTTTAGTTTGTGGATGTAGGAAACATTTAGAGGCAGTGCTAAAGATGATGTGCCATTCCTTGTCATGCTTTCTTTGAGAACTGGAGTGTACTCCTAGGTGTGCATGAACTTTAGAGAGGGCATTCCAGAGCCTGTTGTAGTATTTACTATAGATATCAAATACAAACACTTAGAAGAGGTAGCTGTTGCCAGAGGTGATTTAAATTGATGAGGTGTGCATCCAAAAATAAGACCATGTTCTTTGGCTTCATAGACAACCATGGGATAACATGCCCAAGACATCATGATGTAAAAGCAGATCTTATTTTTCAGAATCATTTAGGCTTGGAAACCAGTAAAAGCTGGTAGCAGCTTTGGTTCTGGTGAGGACGTGTCCTGCAAATACAACAGTTCACACTCTGTACTCAGCAAATCTACACATACGGATTAGAACATATGAATGTTTGGCCATGACCATTCCATCTCTCACAGTAATCACAGAATTGAAGATAATATGGATTGGAGGCTTTCCCCTTAAGATCCTTGTGTATTTCATGCAGGTTTCAGTCCAAAAACTACCAGTATGCTCTGGCCTTGGTTTTTGCTATTGAGGAGATCAACAAAAACCCCCATCTTTTACCCAACATGACCTTGGGATTTGGTCTCTATAATGTCATGCACAGTGCTATGACAGTAATGGAGAACCCCTTCATCTGGCTTGTGGGACTGGAAGAGGACATTCCTAATTACACATGTAGGAAACAGAGCAAGTCTGTTGCTGTAATATCAGAAAGCAGCATTGCTGTCCAAATGGGGACACTGCTGGAACTCTACAAAATTCCACAGGTGAGTGTGTAGTGAAAAAGTGGGATAAAATACATCAACTTAGGTACCTTACTTAGAACCAAAAATTTAAGGGTCAGAGACCATTTACAGTTGACACAGTATGTGATCTAAAGAGAAGACGTGCAGAGATTTTGTGGATTAGCCACATTTGTTCTGAAGCAGAAGTGTGGGTGAGTAAAAAGGAGAAATGTTTTTCTCAACCTGTGAGTCTAATGATTCATGAACTAGGAAGCTTTTATGTACTGGGACATGATAAAAATGAAATATTCTAAAATATGACACTTCCATTATCTGCTTAATTTTTTCAGGAATAACATTTTACACTATGACAATAACCTTACACAGATTTCTTGCCTTTTCCCTTAGCTGACTCTTGGACCTTTTGAACCTCTTCTGAGTGACAGTGGTCAGTTTCCTTCCCTCTATCAGATGACTCCCAAAGACACTTCTCTGGCCCATGGCATGGCCTCCTTGATGCTCCATTTTGGGTGGACCTGGGTGGGTTTGGCCATCTCAGACCTCCCAAAAGGTGTTCAGTTTATGTCTGATTTGAAAGTAGAGTTACACAAGAATGGCATCTGTGTAGATTTTGTGGAATTGATCCCAGCCACTCTAGAGTCACTTTCTTCATTCCAATATGTGTTTCATATCCAGATCCTAAAATCATCAGCAAATGTGGTGATTCTTTTCTGTGACACTGAGTCACTCATAGGCGCCAGCTTTCAATCATGGGGGGAGTTAATGATGTGGAAAGTCTGGGTCACCACTTCACAATGGGATTTTGCCAGTTCTGAGAAACCTTTCCTGCTCCACTCATTCCATGGGACTCTCATTTTTTCACACCACCATAGTGAGATCTCTGGTTTCAAAAACTTTCTTCGGACAGCTAACCCTTCCAAGTACCCAGAAGACTCTTACCTCTCCAGATTCTGGTCGCTGGCTTTTAATTGCTCAGTTACTGGGACATCCTGTAAAACTTTGCAGAACTGTCCACTGAATGCTTCCTTGGAATCCTTGCCTCCGCATCATTTTGATATGACCATGAGTGATGGGAGTTACAACATATACAATGCTGTGTATGCTGTGGCCCACAGCATGCATGAGATGCTTCTACAAGAGGTAGAAATGCAGCCAGTGAACAATGGGGCAAAGGTGGCATTTTCTCCCTGGCAGGTGACTTGGTTTCCATTATTGACATGTACTCCTGAAGTGATCCCCTTAAGAGCTTCTGCAGGTGTTCAATCCAAGTAGCTTGGAAACCTTTCTGCAAAACACAAGATAAAAATGAGCTTCTGCCTGTAATTTGTCATTAGCAAAAAGGTTCCAATGAAAAGTGGGCAGGTAATTTGGATAAGCATCAATTCTATGACTTAAAAATACTCTCCAATTCTGTCAATTTAATTTTGACATGTGAAATACATAGACTGTGTTATTCCATTTTCAGTCTCAGCAGTACAGTAATTATTTTCAGTGTCAAGTGTTGCTGAGGATGTTCATCTACAATGATCATAAGGGATCTCATATAATTTGCACAGTTCTTTATTCTGGTAACTTTATTACAGATAGTTGTCCTAGGTACACTGAGAAAATGAGTGTTGGTAGCTTGGACTGCACTGTTGGAAATGATCTGAATCTCACAGCTAGATATTTTTGATTCCACTTGTTTTTGTAGAAAAATGAGTGAAATCATACTTACCTTGATGTAGTTCTCATCAGGTTTTTTTTTTTTTTACTTCAATTCATTGGGTGGTTCTAAACAGGTTCTATTGTTTATTTGTGATTACAGACAAAGAGAGGTTTTCTCTTACCTGGGTTTCATGTGTTATTGCTTGGCAGTCTTCATGAGAATATGATGCACTTTTTCAGTTGCACCCATTTCTGAAGAATCTCCAGTTTACCAATCCAGCTGGTGACCTAGTGAATTTGAATCACAGGAAAAATTTGGAAGCTGAATACGACATTCTCAACTTTTGGAATTTTCCATATGGTTTTGGACATAAGGTTAAAGTAGGGTGGTTTTCCCCACACGTTTCACAGAGTGAACAGTTGTCTCTCTCTGAGAATTTGATAGAGTGGGCCACAGGAATTACAGAGGTAAGTTGGACTGATCATAAGGTTCACATGACACATTGTTACCCCCCAACTGCTAAGGGAGTATGTGCAGTATGGCTTATTCAAAAGACACTTAGGGACATTAAACCACTCGACTTCCAACCCAAATACTTTCTTATGTTTTTAGTGTCTGAGGATGGACAGTACACACACATTTCCCACCACGTCTTTTGAATCTATTTAAGAAAATCAAATTGAATGTTGTCATTTTGTCAGAAACAGATGTTTACAGTTTCAGTGAATAAGTTTGCAGGACTTGAAAACCCTCTACTTGGAACTTAAGTAATAGTCTGAATTACGATCAACACTCATCTGATTTTTCTCAGACTCCATGCTCGGTATGCAGTGTGAGTTGCAGCCCTGGATTCAGGAAAACCCCTCTGGAGGGAAAGCCTGCCTGTTGTTTTGATTGCACACCTTGTCCTGAGAATGAGATTTCCAATCAGACAGGTAAGTCAGTGCCTGCCTCTTGAAGAAGTTACCACCTGTTTCTTAAATTATCAACTTATCCGTGAAAGAAAGTATGTGGAATATGACTGCTGAGACAGTCTTCCCCCCTTCAGGTAGAAATTAATCCTTATAATCAATATTAATCCACAAAAGGATAAAACTTTCCACAATACACTCCCAATATTATTTTTGAAAGCATATAAAAGACTGAATGTCTCTGTAATGCTGACCATGTTTGAGTTCAGGCTGATATACACATGGTAAAAAATGTATAGAAACCAATATTGGGTAATATTCACCCCATAAAACAGTGTGGCAGTTCTAAGATTTATTTCATGAATCAGAACTATGCCATCACATGCATCATAAAAATTTTCCAGTTTTTGCTTGTGTTGCATGAGTAGTTATTTGTACCATATATTTAGTATAATTCTAATTTTTTGAAACTTATTGTTGATAATGAAAGGTTTTGGAAACAGAGTACAGTCCATGGGAGTAGTGTGGTGTATGTGCTAATTCAGTATAGGAAAACTCATGTCTGGGTTCCTTGTGCTTATACAGGTAAAAATCCTTTCACCAAATTCAAGTGTAGCATGCTTGGAGTGAGAAAGTGCAACTCTACACAAACTGTGTGTTATGTGTAAAACTATCTTAGAAATCATGCAGTATATCATCCTGAGGATGATACTCATCAAATATCATAAATGGGGCTAATCTTAGCCTTTGACAAAAGCCATTGCTGCTCAAAATATAAATCTTCAAGAACATTCTTATGCTTACATATGTACACACATTTATAAAATTCATATCAAAAGAACTCAAGCTGACATACACGGTAATAACTATGCATGGTGGACCTGGCACTGTGGCGCAGTGGGCTTAAGCCCTGGCCTGAAGCACCAGCATCCCATATGGGTGCCAGTTCTAGTCCGAACTGCTCCTCTTCTGATCCAGCTCTCTGCTGTGGCCTGGGATAGCAGTAGAAGATGGTCCAAGTCCTTGGGCCTCTGCACACACATAAGAGGCTCCGAAGAATCTCCTGTCTTCAGATCAGCACAGCTCTGGTTGCTGCAGCCGTCTGGGGAGTGAACCAGCAGATGGAAGGCCTCACTCTGTCTCTACCTCCCTCGGTAACTCTGTCTTTAAAAAAAATAATTATGCATACCAAGGTAGGTCAATGACTGCAAATTCAGCACAAGCCCTTGAAGGTAAAATGTGGACATTATAAGGAAATTGAAGTAAGTAAAAATTGGAAGAATTTAAAGTTGGTGATCATAAACAAGAAAGATTTATGAACCTCAGCAAGATGGAACAGTGCGAACAATAAGATTACTCTGTGTGTGTGTGTGTATACACAAAGAGAGCTGAAGAGGTCTATTTAGATATAAAAATACTAATATTAGAGCTTATTAATCATTTAATTCTGATACATTGAAAAATATAGAAGAAATTCAGATATTCTCAGATAGAAATATTATGAAATATGTTGAGCAATATTTGAAAAATCCAAATATCCTCACAGTTATTAAAATAATTCCCAATACTTGAATGGTGATAAACAATTTTCAGATATTTTCTCAACTCCTATAGAGAACAGGAAAAATGTAAAAATTCTGTTTCTTCTATGGGAACATCTCAAGTTGATGGATCAAATACTGCTAGATATTTCAGCAAAATGAAATTGTAAGACGCTGTTGTTGAAATAAATTCATACATTTGAAATCTCAAACAGTGTAAATCCAACAGTATTTTTTAAATAAGCTACATCATGCCCAAAGAGTTTCATAAAATCTAATTCAGTTTATAGTACATGAAAAATGCAATAATAATAAGTATAACTGAAGAAAAATAGTTAATAAAATCTAAGTGATCTATGAATTGTAAACAAAGAACAAAACCACTCAAACATGACAAAAAGAAGGATTAGCTTTCAATCCTAAAGTGAATTTTAGAATGCTACAAAACATGGAAATTATGGCTGGAGATTGGATACAAAGTTGACGAAAGAATGCAACTTCTACAGAAAATTACCCAGGAGGTTCGGCTCCATGCATATTGTCAAAAAAGAATGACATTCAACTTACTAAAAAGGAAGATTTAAAAGTGGCATCATTTAAAGTGATATTGGGATGGTGTATTGAAATCAGTGAATCGGTAATTGAATTAAGTAGTGCTGGTATACCAAATTGGACAAAGCAGTTACTTTTCCTTACAAATTCTGGAAAACAAACCTATGAAAGATGGCACTTGTAATGTCTCAAAAGTATGAAATATCCAAAGGAAAGACTAACTAAATTTTGGAAGAAATCTGCAAGTTGAGACATCAGTCTTCAATGGAACAATATATTGAACATAAGAGGATACAGACAGGGTTGGAGAAAAAATTCATGTTCAAGGACAAAAAGACAGGAAAGTGGAAATATGCCAGTAAGTTTCAAGGTGATCTACAGACTGACTTTGATTATAGGCAGCATCCTAGTGTGTTCTTTGATGAAAACGTTCAAGCGTGGAAACTAATCCAGCTGGTATCAAGTGTACAGCTGTTCTGTGTTTCTCTAGAACCTGACCATTTGCCTTCTAATGGTGGTTTGTCAATCAGTGCTTTCCCCTATCATGACATAATCCAGATTCTACCTTAAAGAGATATGTTTTAGTGAGATTGCTAGGTGATTTCTGTGCAACCAAAATTCACAAAGTATATCTCCCAGTCCATGATTTTAAGAGTGGGAACCTGGGGCCGGTGCTGTGGTATAGTAGGGTAAGCCTCTGGCTGGGATGCTAGCATCCCAGTTGGTCAGCAGTTTCAGCCCCAGCTGTTTCACTTCCAATGCAGCTCTCTCCTGATGCTTGGGAAAGCAGCAGAAGATGGCCCAAGTTTCAGAGCTCACACCAATACAGGAAGCCAAGAAGAAGCTCCCAGTTACTGGCTTCAAAACACCCCAGTTCCAGCTATTAATGACTTTTGGGTTGTGAATCTCCCCTCCTCTTTTTTCCCTCTTTCCCTTTCTCCCTGTCCTCCTCTCCTTCTTTCTCTCTCTCTCTCCATTCTGCTTCTCCTCTTCCTTCTGAAACTCTGACTTTCATGTAAGTTATAAATAAATGAACACACATTAAATCAAAGGCTGCAACCATTGGGTGGTTGAATAGGCCATGAAAGTACAGAGGGAATAGCACTATTTAAAAGGGCTCATTTCAGGCATGGAAAGCCACAACTCTGCAGCAAAAAATAGACTACATGGAGGATCTCTATGAAACCTCTGTTGAAAGAAAGGGTCATCAAAAAGGGATGCACTCTTGTCTGAAGAGAGGAGAGAGCAACCACTTTGTGTATGACCCTGTCCAAATACCGATGGAGTCTCTAGTCACAAAAGGCTTCCATAGGCTTGGCAGACCATGACAAGAGCCTCAGGTGATCACTGACTTCATACATGCATAAACATGTTAATTGTTAAAGTAACAACAGAGGTCACTGTGTACTTAGTCCCATGTAGGACCTCTGTCCCTAATGAGTTGTACTATGAGAATCGACTGCAAATTTTGTTCCTAAACTGTGCTATATATGTGGTCTGTGTGTGTGGATACCAACTGTTGAAATCTATGCTTATCATGGAGTTGGTCCTCTGTATTTAAAATCAAACTGAAAATGAACCATAATGAAGAAGGAGATGGTATAGGAAGAGGGAGAAGGAAATGTGATGGTAGTGGGAGTGGGAGGCTGGGTATAGGGAAAAGAACCCCTATATTCCTAAAGGTGAATGTATGAAAAATGCAATCATTAAATAAAAACTTAAAAAATGAGGGCTGCTGTTTGCTCTTGTTCCAAGTGAGCATGCAGCAGAATATGCCCTGTATAAGGGCAGAGTAGCCCTCACCACACATGGAACCCCCTGGCATCTTGAACATCAGTTCCCAATCCAAAGAAACAATGAAGAAGGAATTTGTGGTGTTAAAATAACACAGGCTAAGGTATGCTTTTAAAGCACCATGAATACGTTCAGAGAGTAGCCCTTAGGGCTTTGTTAGGAGAAAAAGAGCATGTACTCATCATTATGTAAGGTACTTAGGAAGATGAAGTATTAACTGGCTAACATGAGGAAGATGGACATAAACAATCACCAATAATTTTATATGTCATTTTATATGCTGTCTTTCACATCAAATAAGGACCATTTGCCTAAACTAGCCACATTGGGTATTCTAGAAGGTACTTGTGAATCAGGAATAACTGAACTTGAGATGATGTCAATTACATTTCTCACCAGATATGGACCAGTGTGTGAAGTGTCCAGATCTTCAGTATGCCAACACAGAGCGAGACCAGTGCTTCTACAAAAAACTGACCTTTCTGTCTTTTGAAGAGCCCCTGGGGATGACCCTGGTCTGCACAGCTCTGTGCTTTTCTGTCCTCACTGCTGTTGTTCTTGGGGTCTTTGTGAAGCACCGAGACACTCCCATAGTCAAGGCCAACAATCGTGGTCTCAGCTACATCCTGCTCATCGCCCTCATCTTCTGCTTCCTTTGCTCCTTACTGTTCATTGGTCATCCCAACACAACCACCTGTGTCCTCCAGCAGACCACTTTTGGAGTGGTGTTCACCATGGCTGTTTCCACAGTCCTGGCCAAAACTATCACTGTGCTTCTGGCCTTCAAGTTCACTGCCCCAGGGAGAAGGATGAGACACTGGCTGATATCAGGGGTACCTAACTCCATTATTCCCATCTGCTGCCTGATCCAACTGGCTCTCTGTGGCATCTGGCTTGGGACTTCTCCTCCCTTTATTGACACAGATGCACACTCTGAGCATGGCCACATCATCCTGGTGTGCAACAAGGGCTCCGTCACTGCCTTCTACTGTGTCCTGGGCTACCTGGGTTCCTTGGCCTTGGCAAGCTTCACTGTGGCTTTCCTAGCCAGGAATCTGCCTGACACCTTCAATGAAGCCAAGTTCCTGACGTTCAGCATGCTGGTGTTCTGCAGTGTGTGGGTGACCTTCCTGCCTGTCTACCACAGCACCAAGTGGAAGGTCATGGTGGCTGTGGAGGTCTTCTCCATCTTGGCCTCTGGTGCAGGGCTCCTGGGCTGCATCTTTGTTCCCAAGTGCTACATTATTCTCTTCAGACCTGAGAAGAATGCTTTGAAAGGATTCAGGGATAGAATAGCTTCCAAGGAAACAGATGTTCTGAAGTGTAGCTCTTAAGGCTCTCACAGTTTTCAGTTGTTAGAGATTAAGATTTATAAAAGCGATTTTGCATTCTGATGTTATAAAATAACTTGCAGAATGTAACCTTCTTATGAACTGTTTATTTTCTCTTAAAATGTTTTTGTTCTGAAGCACCAATTCACAGAAAAGGAAGGGATAATCAGAGAAACCTTCCATCTGGTGATAGACTCTGAGGATATCTGCTGTGGCCCAGTGCTGGTTCATGACAAAGCAAGATCATTTCAGTTGTCCATTGGAGTGTCAGCTTCTTAGGCCATCTTCTACTGCTTTTTTTGAATCATTAACAGGGAGTAGGATTCCAAGTGGAACAGCCAGGATATGAACTGGCACCCACATGGGATGTCATAGTTACAAGTGGTGGTTATATCCACTACACACTCACACTGGTCCCAATCCTCCTCTCTTCAAAAATAATATTGTGTATAAATTTCTTAGCCTGGGTTTCATGTTCACAAACACAAACCTGATCTCAGATAAAGGCTCTCCTTGAAACTTTTCATTGCTTTTCATTTCTGTGTTTTCATTGTCACCTGGTGGACATTGTAATATTCATATTTTAATAAAATGAGTTACATGTTTGCTGTTTTCTAAGATTTATTCGCCTATTTGAAAGAGTTTACAAAGATAGAGGAGAGGCAGAGGGAGAGAGGTCTTCCATCTGTTCAGTTCACTTCCTATTAGCCACGTTGGATAGAGCTGCACTGATCTGAAGAAAGGAGCCAGGGGTTCCTGGTGCAGGGTCCTAGAGACTTGGGCCATTTTCTGCTGCTTTGCCAGGCTGTAGCAGAGAGCTGGATGAGAAATGGAGCCCCGGGTCCCGACGTGGACCCCATATGAAATGGAGGAGCTTCAGGCAAGGACGCTAACCTGCTGTGCCACAGCGTCTGCCCCTGTTTGCTGTTTTTATTTATTCATTACTGTATTTATTCATTCATTATTCATTTACTATTAATGTGAGCTTTATAATAGATTTGGAATATTTCAGTGCAAATATTAGACATGTTAAATCATTTTCATGTGTATAATGCATTGTCCTGAAACTCCTTAATTTTATACCATTTCATATGGATTTGAAATGATGTGATAATCATACACCAAGTTTTCATTATACATAGAAGTGATTATGCAGACTTCTTTTCCATCTGCTCTTTTCTGTTTATTATTGATTTGGCTTTAGATTTACTTTTGCCAATACCAGACAAAAGAAAGTGATTTTACATCTCGATCTGAAAGTAATTCAAAAGAAATAACAATTTTAAAGTGATCTAATGACCTTTAGACTTTCACTCTACTGTGCAACTATTATCTCTGTCATATTTTAAAATATTTTCATCGCTACGAATCAGGTTCCTTATCCATTAATTGTCACTCTCAGTTCTGTGTCTTGCCCGTTACACAGCCAGCAATCTATTCCTGTTTCTGTGGATTTAATGGTCCTGAGTGTTTCATATAAATGAAGTATTGGACTCTGTGGATTTAGGTAACCTTTCATTTTGCATGGTGTTCTTAAGGGGCCTCCACATTATTGCAGGTATTTACTTTTTTATGACAAAATGATAATTCCTTGTAGTAGTTCATTGTTACAAAAGACACGATTTCTGTTTTTACTGCCAATTAATATTCTTAGAGTATGTATACCATGGTTTCTTTATCCCCTCATCAGTTGATGGATATCTGGGTTGATTCCATACTTAGCTATATTGAATTGAGGTGCAATGAACATGGGGGTACAGATGACCCCTTTTCATGCTGATTTCATTTTGTTTGGGTTAATTCCTAGGAGTCAGTTGGCTGGGTCATATGGCAGATCTCTTTTCAGCTCTCAGAGTTTTCCATACTGTCTTCCACAATGAATGTATCAGTTGACATTCCCACCACCTGTGGATTAGGGTACCTTTTCACACAAATCTCCAGCATAGGTTGGTTGTTGATTTCTGTATGAAAGCCGTTCTGACGGGTGAGGTGGAACCTGATTGTGGTTTTGATTTCATTTCCCTGATGGCTAGTGGTCCTGAACATTTTTTTCAAGTGCTTTTGGCCATTTCAGTTTCTTCTTTTTGAAAAATGAGTGTTGAAGTTGTTTTCCATTTCTTAACTGGATGTTTAGTTTGTTGCTATTTTGTTCCTATTTCTTTTATGGGAAACTGGATCAGATGTGGGGCAGCCAGGACTCAAGCCATTGACATATGGGATGCCAGCACTGCTTGTAGAAGCTTAATATACTACACCACAGCCCACCTCCAGTTTCCATTACTTTTTATTTTTTATTTTTATTTTATTTTTCAAGGTTTTTATTTAATGACTACAAATTTTCGTATGTACAGCTTTTAGGTTTATAGTGTTTCTTGTCCCCTTTCCCACCCTCCCACCCGTACTCCTGGTCCCTCCCCCATTCATTTTCTATTCAGATTCATTTTCAACTGACTTCATATATATAGAAGACCTACTCTTTACTAAGAGAGATTTCCACTCTTTGCACCCAGACACACACGACATGAAGCACAGTTTGAAGACAAGTTTTCCCTTTAATTCTTGTAGTACAACACATTAAGGACAGAGGTCCAGCATGGGGAGCAAGTGCACAGTGACTTCTGTTGTTGATTTAACAACTGACCTCTTAGCTATGATGTCAGAGATCACCTGAGGCTCTTGACATGAGCTGCCAAGGTTATGGAAGCCTTTTGAATTCACAAACTCTGTCAGTTTTTTATTCAGGGGCATATATGAAGTGGAAGTTCTATGCTCTCTTCAGCATAAAGTACATCCTTCTTTGATGGCTTTTTCTTTCCACTGGGGTCTCACTCACAGAGATCCTTCATGCAGAACCATTTTTGCCACTATGTCTTGGCTTTCCATGCCTGAAATTCTCTCATCATGTTTTCGGTAGGCCTCAGGGGCTGATTCTGAGGTCAGAGTGCTGTTTAGGGTGTTTGTCATTCTATGTGTCTGCTGTGTGGACTGCTTCCCATGTTAGAACTTTCCCTTCTTTGTAATTCTGTCTATTGTTATTATCAGGCACTTGTTCTTATTTATGTGATCCCTTTGTCTGATGTTCCTATGTACATGATCAAGTTGATTCTTAATATGATCACTTTTACACATAAGATGGGAACAGTGCCACCCAGATAAATGGGATTTGGAGTCCATGGAACATTTTTAGCATCACCATTAGGGGTAGGTCTGTGTGAATGTGTGCTGATCTGTACAGCTCCTCACTCTTCCATTCCCATTCTTATTTTTAACTGGAATCTATTTTCAATTGATAATACATGTATGATTAATTCTAGCTTAAGTAAGGAGTTTAGCTAATGGTATTAAGTAGAGAAGCAAAAAAGAATGAAGAAATAGATAAAGTGAAATAATAAAGTGCTCCTCGACATTCAAACCAAGGCCAAGGGTAGTTCAAGTAATTCCTTCTCATAGTGTTTATTTCGCTTCTACAGGTTTCCTTTTAGGTGCTCTGTTAGTTGTCACAGATCAGGGAGAAGATATGACATTTGTCCCTTTGGGACTGGCTTCTTTCACTAAGTATGATATTTTCCAGATTCATCCATTTGTTGTAATTGACCAAATTCCATTCTTTTAAATTGCCAATAGTTTTCCAAATAGTACATATCCCATAGTTACTTTCTTTCTTTTTTTGACAGGCAGAATGGACATTGAGGGAGACAGAGAGAAAGGTCTTCCTTTTCCATTGGTTCACCCCCACCAATGGCCGATGCAGCTGGAGCAGTGTGGCTGATGCTCCATGCTGTTCTGAAGCTAGGAGCCAGGTGCTTCTCCTGGTCTCCCATGTGGTTGCAGGGCCCAAGCACTTAGGCCATCCTCCACTGTACTCCTGGGCCACAGCAGAGAACTAGACTGGAAGAGGAGCAACCAGGACAGAATCCAGTGCCCCAACTGGGACTAGAACCCAGGGTGTTGGCACCGCAGGCGGAGGATTAGCCTAGTGAGCTGTGGCGCTGGCTCCATAGTTTATCTAGTCTTTGGTTAATGGGCATTTAGGTTGATTCCATATCTTGGCTATTGTGAATTGAGATACAATAAATATACAGGTGCAGATGTCTCTTTTATTTGCTGATTTCATTTCCTTTGGGTACATTCCAAGGAGCGGGATGGATGGATCCTAGGGTAGGGCTATATTCAGATTTCTGAGGTATCTCAAAACTATTTTCCATGGTGGCTTTACCAGTTTGCATTCCCAGCAGCAGTGAATTAGGGTACCTTATTCCCCACATCCTCACTGGCATTTGTTGTTTGTTGATTTCAGTATGAGAGCCATTCTTACTGGAGTGGGGTGAAACATCCTTGTGGTTTTCATATGCATGTCCCTGATGGCTAGTGATCCTGAGCATTTTTTCTTGTGTCTGTAGGCCACTTGGATTTCATTTTTTGAGAAATGTCTACATCCTTTGCCCACTTCTTGACTAGGTTGTTTTCTTGGCTATTGTTGAGTTTTTTGATCACTTCATATATTCTGGTTATTAATCCTTTATCAGTTGTGTGGTTTGCAAATAATTTCTCCCATTCTACTTGTTGCTTCTTTACTTTCCTGTTTGTTTGCCATACAGAAGCTTTGCAATTTGATGTAATCCCACTTGTTAATCTGGGTTTTTATTGCCTGTGCCTCTGGGGTCTTTTCAAGGAACACTGTGCCTAGGCTGATGTCTTGCAGGGTTTCCCCAATGCTCTCTAGTACTTTGATGGTATTGGGTCATAGATTTAGGTCTTTAATCCATTTTGAATGGATTTTTGTGTAAGGTGTAAGGAAGGGGCCTTGCTTCATATTTCTGCATGTGGAAATCCCTGTCCTTGCTCTAGGGAGTGGTTTTAGCTACTTGAATGAATATAAGTTGGCTGTTATAGATTTTTGGATTGATTTCTGCATTTCTATTCTGTTCCATTGGTGTATG